CGAATCTAGTTGAGATCTTGTGAAGTGTGCATTTGTATCCTGCATGATCGCGTGTTCTCTGCGTGACGGTCGGTCCATACGAATTGAATGCTGACAGGAGGAGAGTTCTGAGAGTTCTGCGACGCGCGATCGACAAACTTTAAAATAATGATTTCAAATTATGCTGCGCTTTATGCAGTTTATGCAGTTGTCATATTCATGTCAGTTTCATTGCGTGCTGTATGTAAATGAGTGTTACCTTGGCTTTATTTGAAAAAAAAAACATTATTCCCAATGCACACAAACTTCCCAGAATACTGAGTGCTCTGTTGGTTACAGTGTTTACTTCCTTTTTAATTAGATTTTTATCAAATATTTATTTATTTGTGAAAAATACTTTGTCATCTAAAGTATAAGTGTTTATTTTACAAATACATTTTTTAATCCATTTTCAAATTATTTCAAATTTCTGAAATATTAATTAAAATAAATAAAATTATATCGGTCATCGGCCACCCTGCTTTCCGAGATATCGGCATCGGCTGTCAACAAACCAATATCGGTCGACCACTAAAACCAATCCGATGTGTAGTTGACATTTGAGGCTTAATACTATTGAAAAGCACTAAAATATTTTCAGTTAGAGTGTTTTCAGCTTGTTTATTTTCATATAAAAATACGTCATGCAGATGCATCAAACAATGGTATAAACATCATTCAATGTAAATTGTGATAATCGTAATTAATAATCGCAATTACAACTTCAAGAGAATAATCAACAATTATGATTTTTGTCATAATCGTGCAGCCCTACATAATAGTTTCTCTGAAAAACAACATTACAGCCAGTTATTCTAATTTGAAATGTGTGTTCTGTATCGGAATGTCCGTTTTTGTTTTGGTCTGTGTGATTCTGCTCACTGACAATTTACCCAATATGATTTTGACCCCCCGGGTTGCCAGTTGGTGGAAAATACAGCGTATTGCAGCCATGGAAGCCAGCAAACGAATTGGGCCAGAGATCACAGATTCTACCTAAACTAAAAAGCCTCGGCATCCAACTAAATAGCTCTGTGACCTGAGCCATATTAAAATGCGGATAAATCAACTCATCAACAAATCAGATTTCGGTGCCTCATTTTGGTGCCACTTGAGTGATCGATTGAAATATTTGTCCCGGTTCTCCGAAATGGACGTAAGAAGCATGGGCGTCGTTAGGCCATTTTTTAGCGGGGCTATAGCGATTAGCTCCATAAACTGTACACAAATTCGTGATCGCTTCAGAGTCAGTCCCCATTAAATTTCATATGAAAACCGCGGCAGACTTCGTCTCCTCCCCGTCTTTCAGCGTGCTCTTCAATCCGCAGACCGCGGCGGCGCAGCACGAGCGTACTCAAACAGAAACAGACGACACAAGGTGTGTGTTTATCGATAGATTGTTATAATATCTGTATCTGTGCAGTTCTTTGTCATAAATACAGTTTACAAAAGGTCAACAGGG